CCTTTAATCAAGAAGATCTTTTTTCCTCCATCTTTGATAAACTAAAAGTCATCTGATAAGGCTTTTTAAGTGTCTGGGCACATTTACAGGCTCACTCAGGCACTTGGACAGATCTTTCTATACAACAAAACCATGTGCTAAGCAGCAGCAGCCAAAGCTACAGCAAACATCCCCAGACAAGGCAGTTATGTCCCAAGTGTAACCATCCTATATTTTCTATTACGGAGTTAGAGGGCAAGGAAAGCAGGGAACAAACCCAAGGACACTTGGTGTTCCTCTACAGGAAAAAAATCCATTTATTTCATGCAGTAGCTTAATCCCATTGGTACTTCTTTGATTATTCAACTTTGTTTTGCTTTTCCAATTTTTTTTCCATATTACTGAAACAAACAGAAATACTGTTTGAAGGTCTTTCTTCCCAGAGCTCTCACAAAAAAACAAAATGGAAAAAAAACCGAGAAGTCTCCCACTACTTCAGTAACTCCCTAGAAGAAGGCATTGAGAAAAAACTAAAGGAAAAAACTCAAATAATTATGTATCACCTGTTTTCTTCAGAAATATCACCATGTCTGCACTTTGAGACTAATTTAGTTCCCTCGGACTATTACACATAAGAATCTTTGCACCCTTCAAAGTAACAGGAAATACATAAAGGGAAATAAACTTGGCCAGGAACTCAGACTGAATTTTTTCTTTTACTGAGGATAAAAGTTTACCGTTTAAAAAAGTAAAAGCTGTTTATAGTTGCAACTAACTTAACTTTCAACCCTGCATACATTCAATAGCTGCAAGATCAGCAACTGCTCACACCCCTAGAAAAGGAAATGAACCCACCTAGACTCTCAGACCAGAAGACAATTCAAATGTTCTATTTTTGCTTCCAGCTATGCTTTCAAAGAATCTTATGCATCATCAAGGCAGAAGATGCGCTGGAAATTCCTCTAGTTAAGTTAAGCTCAAAGGAGATCTTAACAAACATCCCCTGATCTATCCCATTACAGGAGCCCCATCTGTATTAAGAAACCAAATTTAAAGATCTACAATTCTATGCTATGATCATGTAAAATTTTATTTTGTTTTTTATTATTTTGAACGTAATGGATCAACTAGGAAAGATTTTATTTGTTTTATATAATTTTAACATCATTTACCCACAAGTACACTCATGGAATAAACAAGCTCACTAAAAGGAAAGGAAGTTGGAACAGTTCTACTAAGATGATATTTTGCAGTAATTAGTATTTGTAGAGCAAGTGGCAAGGGAATTATGATAAATGACTGTCCTACAAACTATCATTTTAGAAATAATCTGCCAGCAGTAAGTAACATAATTAACTCTAAAAACTTTACATTGGAGGTCCCATCAACAAAAGCAAAGCCTGGTAATACAAGTATTTCAGAAGCATCAGAACAGATTTGACCAAAACTGCTTCACCTTCTTCAAAAAAAGTTTGCACATACATGCTTGTAACTCTAACCACTGAAAAATGAGACTGCTGAAGTCCTTAATACCATTCACTGTAACTCCACTCTGGCCACTTATGAGGCTTTAAAGACTCTTCTGTAGTGTATTTGAACCTGCTCAAGAAAATCAAGGGCAAGAAAGAAAATGCAACAAAATACTAACAGGGTTTGAGAAGTAAAAAATGACACTGAATTTATCCCACTGCACACCTGCCTGCAGTTCATTTTGCATGGCAAAACACGGAAGGTTTACAGCTTTTGCCTTTCTTAAGAAAACAAGGCAGAATTAAAAAGGTTCATGAATCATGAGCTGGCTTCATGAGCTATTTAAGGCCACAAAGCCGTAGGTTCAGGTATTTATGTAGAAACCAAACATTTCCATGTAGAAACTGCAATTCATGCAGGGTTTTTAGATTTCTGAATGTGTGGCATAAACCACATTTAGAACATTTACTTGCATTTGCTGTAATTTCAGTATCTAATTTGTGAAAGGTTTCTAAGTAATCCTGACATCTGCCAGGAACAGCTTCCCCAGATCATCTGTACTTACAATCAATTTCTTCTGAGGCTTAAAAGCACAAGTTATGAGCTGTGATTGCAGTACCACAGAGCATCATTGAGCTTTGAATACAGAAACAAATGCTTTAAAGAGTCACATTCTCATTCAGTGGTGCACAAATTACTCTTATTGCTGCACCTCTAGACACAGCTGGTAACAACTTTCACGGGAAAAAAGCTTGCTTAAATTTCCTTACGAGGCAGAGGGTCTATTATGCATTACCTTCTTTTATTAAACAACTTTTCAGCTGAGCTACAAGAGAATATAGACTGAAAACCACAATGTTACATTAAAATAAAAAGCTACAAATACTCTTTAAGGAGCGAGTGTAATGAATTACATGGAGTAGCATGAGGGGGCTTTCAAAGGGCAAATGTAAAAGGAAGTAATCATTGTATCAAAATTAGACTTTGGGGCATGCATTATTTACACTTTAAAAGTTCTTGTTAATGACTACAGCAAATGGAAGGAAGCTAGTTGGGTGAACAGGTCCATTGTGCGAACCCCCTCCTTAATACTTTAGCCAGCCAGCCAGATATAAACAAAATTGGCCAACAACAGAACTTATATTTCATTTACGCAGATGGAAGAACTCTACCACCTTCCATCTGTCATCACAAATCCCAAGGAACTTGACTTCCCTTTAGTAGTTCTTGTGGAATTTTCTTAGTCTACTCCATTAAACTGGCAAGTTCAGTAGGTTCATTTGATGTCATACCAAGGAATCTCCTCCTGGCTAAAAGGACCTGAGCAAGAGCCACTGCAGAACAGAAAATGTAACATTACATATGGTGTACCTATTTTCATGAGATGCATTTTGTATGTAACATGTTCTCCCATTGATTCCAAACTAATTTCTCACATGTAAAATCTAGGTTTGAAGTACTATTAACCAAGCAAACCATCATCCCAAGCAGCAGGGAAGTGAATGATGCTTTCAGAAGCACAAGAATAAAATGGGTAAAATCATTTTAAAATGGGTAAAACCAATAACCCTCCCTTCCTACTGCCAGTACTAAGGCTGTTTTCAAGTACACAAGGACTATTCTCTTCCCACTGATTTACTTGTTTGCAAATTCAGAAGCCTCCTGTAGCATCATAGCCAGTATGAAACAAGGAACTTCACTGCTGATGATTAGAAGCTGTTTTGAGACTCAACTCCATACAATAAACAAAGCACCACTTATAAGCAGCAGCACAACTGGGAGTTCATTAGAGCTGCTGCAGATCTGCAGTTAAAGCTGCTCTGCAGTCAGCTCTTGTGCTTAACTTTATTGCCCTTCAAACTCAGAAATGCTCAAGTATTTTGACTCCATACACACATTAACATACATATTCATAGAGAAAGCTCAGAAACTCAACTGCAGTAGTATATTATAGTGTGTTGTGCTATATACACAGATCAATACTTTCTTTAAAACTACAACCTCACACATCATTTCACTTGGTTTTATTAAAATCCTTCTTTCCTTATAAATTTCCTGACAGGAACTGTGCAGGATTGTGCTTGAGTTTTATTATCATTTTCCCAAGCTTACATTGTAGCCCAGCACACAGTCCCATGCAATGGCACATATTAAAAGAGTCTTCTCTTGAAGAAAAGAGAAATGTTAGCTGCACAGTTTCTCCATACACATCAAGCATAGCACAGATCTCAACATGACACTGTGGTTAAAAAAACTTGTTCAATGAACTTGAAGGGCCTGCATCCTTCAAACCATTGCCACAGCCTCTCCACAGAAAAGATCTCTCTTCAATTACCCTGTGTAACATCTCAGCCACAAGGAATACCACCAATGAAAAAACTTCTTTTGCCTCTTCTCCCCATAAGTTTAAGTAAAAGATGAAAGAGATTTTATAAATTATATCAAAAAGGAACTTGTGGTATTTTCACGAGAACTGGCATCCAGCTGACAAAAATCTACCTAAGTGCTTTTACCCTAGCACTAGATTTCTTGCTTCAAACGTGCCTTGTAAGGCAATATAATCTAACTGATAATATATGTAAACAAGAAGAGAAAATAACTGTCTGGTATCTTCAAAACTTTTACTGTGACTGCCCTGCAAACAGAAAAATCTACTGACAATTGCTGACAGGGCTTTCTCACACAATACTTTTGCTTTTAATTTCCACATCTGTACACCATCTAACACAGCATAAAAAAAATGCTGAAGCATTTAGCTCTGTCAGCTGAGAAGTATTTAACCAGAACTCTCTTATAAAAAAACTAACAAACTCTGAGGCTCAGCACAAGCAGCAAGTAATACAGTGTACATAGAAGAATATAATTCAGATAGCAAAATGATGCTTCTGTTTCTTCTTAAAGTTTTCTCAGAAATTATTGTCAAAAAAGAATACCAGTGATAATGATACATACCACAAGAGAGGTCCAGGCAAAGAGATCACTAAGAGAGCTCCACTGCATTTTCAAAGCACCCTCCCTTCCATCTGATGTCAATAAAAGCTCAGAAAAATTAAAATCGAAGAACAGTTTTGAATTCATTCTGCATCATGGCAAAATTTGAGTTTAACTCTGATACAGGGGAAGGGAGAGGGAGGGAGAAAACACCAGAACTTGCTATGCCTAAAATGTTCTATTTCTTAAAGTATCCACATTTACAACAAAAAAATCCAGTGCTCCCCATGGCCCTGGTCTCTGCAGCTGCTCTAATTACTGAGCAATTAGCTTTTGTAGAAATTCTCAAAACTATAATTTCCATCTTAGAAGCAAAACCTGTCTTCCTTAAGTGTTTTATCAGAACTGTACATTTTCTCACTTTTCTATTTCAGCTAACTGGCACTTTCCAGCCGAACTATTATGTTGGAAAATGCCACCATCAACAGTAGACAGCCCTGAAACTGCCTCCTGTTTTTAAGGTTATTTAAGATCTACTCTAACCAAAGCAGATAACTACAACTTAGAATCCATTTCTTAATTAAAATTCCAGAGAAAAGCACTGCTACATTTCACTAAACATGAAAACAAAGGCCTATGCCTCCATTGGTAGGTTGGACATGAACAAGCAAGTGGGTGATTAGGAATGACCTCAGTACCACACTTGGGAGACAAAAATGGGAAAATAAAGGGCATCTTGTACTTTTCACAAACCCTAAAGTATGCTAAAAAATTAGCAAACTGGACAAAGCCTTCTAAAAATATAGACTCTCTTGTGCAAGACCTTCATTAAAGACCAAGATTCTAAAAACTATGAGTTGGCAACAGAAAGTATAACCTGCAAAATGGGACAGCCAAAAAGCTTTAAAAGAAGACAAAAAATAAAGATGTATATGTGTGTGTGTGTATACACTTCATTCCAAGTGAATTGCATTAAGCCTGTGACAAGTTTACAAAAGCTACAGGATTGGAGGGAACACTGACAATGGTAATTCAGCAAGTTTTTTTTTTCCCCCTTGCACAGAATGAATGAATGGCAAAGTATTCTAAATTTGTCAGTTTGTGACATCCACTGACCCAGAATTCAGAGACACTACTTCATAGTTGGTGTATCAGTAGCAGGGACTCTGACAAAGATCCTCTGTCAAGGATGACAGTGCTGGCAGGCTCAACCTCGGTGGTAGGTCAGTGGGGATACGGACTTGGCAGGCAGCGTGCTGCACCTTGCCAACCCACGCTGGTCAAGCGCTCCAGTGCCAGCCAAACTCTTCTACGTGGTCACAGGAACACGGCTAAAAAGGCTTCCAGAAAACAGGGCAGGAACTTGCACTGTGACTAATGATAACGGCAGAAGTGTTAAATTACTGCTCAGCTTGCTTTTAATGAGCTGTTATCGTTAGCCATGAAGATATCTCAAGTGCACTCAGCTCACACAAGAACAAATCTTCTCGTTTTGAACACGAGCTCCTTACCTGTTATTAAAAAAAATCAGTAAAGATCTTTAAAGAAACATTAACAGATTAAAATTCATTCCACCAGATCTAACAGAGATATTTGAAGAAATGCGTATTTTAACTTAAAAAAACCAAACAAACATGAAGGTAACCAGCAAGGCCTTAACTGGAAGGAAGGGAACACACAGGGACTTGCACAAAATTGCCACAGGAGTATTTCTGCAGGTACGTAATTCAGCCAAGAGCAATAAAAGAGTTCCTAGCACTTTCCTTAGACATCTATAAAGAAAATAGAGGACAGTTTTCTGCAATTAAATATGTCCTCCAAAGCATTAAAGATCACAACATAATTTGCAAAGAACATTCAAAGCCCAAAAAGTTCCTTAATTGAGCATGAGTGCTCCATCTTGGGAGACATTTTTTTTCCAGCTCAAATAATATTCTGTGATCATAAAAACTCTGTACAGATCACCCACTCCAGGTGCAAGATTAAAAATCTGACTTCCTAACAAGTACAAAATAGTACAAGGTCAACAATTACAGTTGTTCCTTCAAGTTCCATTAGAGGTTAAAACGACAAACCTCAAAAAAACCCAAAAAAACCACCCACCACAGCTGCACACGGCAGCACACTGTTGTGATCTTTTGTCACCAACAGAAAGAAAGGCAGAGGAAGACTGTCTTCCTTCTTTTCCATTTGTCAGCCCCATCATGATTGTCAGTCTGGGCTTCCATCAGGAAAGTCCTCTTCAGAAAAAGAGAAAATTCCTATCTCAAATGTATGTCCTCCACATTTGAAAGGAAAAGAAAGGTTTGAAAAAGGTAGGTAAGCACATGGTTTGCTGGGGTTTTATTTTGCAGAAATAAGTGGCATTAGTCACTTAGCAGCAATTTCAAGGCCAAGTGAACAAAATTTTAATATCAGAAGTAAGAGTAAACCACTATCAAACGGTAGGGATTAAGACATTAAATCCAACACAGACAGGGCACTCTCAAAAGTTACAACACACTAATTATGAAACATCTTCAATTAAGTTATTTGCTGCTTCTATTAACTTCCACTACCACTAGCTGCCAACTTCATAAAGCTTTACAGGTTTTGATGAGCACAGGCACATGTCTGCAAGTGTTTGCACCTTTTTCTTTACTCCAGTCAAACTGTGATTCCTCAGAATACCAGGAAGATATTCTGTGCAGAACTTCTATAACTGACACGCAATGAACTACTCTCATTTCAGTTTTCATTCTTTTAAAGCCACCCATGGAAGGCTAATTATCTGAAATTAACGAAGGAATGAAAACAGCATGAGATTTCATCTAAACCCATCATATACTGACAGTCTAATTTCCCACGACAGACAAAACTTTGCTGATGCAAATTCTGACAGTTATTCCTTGGCAGTTTTGCTAAAGCAGCGAGCCCAAGTGATTCACTGCATGGAATTTCTAAATCCCTACCTATTCTACCAAGACACTCAACAACTATTACTGAACCTATTCAATAATACAGTCAACACTACTGCTGAATCAGTTCTTCCCTATCTCACTTTCCTGCGAAATATCACTCAATCACCTTAAGGTCACATTAGAAACCCCACAACTGGAACAAAGCACAGATCATTTGATTTCCAGTCTTGTGCTTTTAACCGCAAGAGCATATTTCCTCTATTAAATTTACAACCCGCAGAAGACAAAACCTGCCGTTCTAAATCACCGAAGCTGTGCATCTGTTGTCAGGCAGCTGTCAGGGCTGGGCGCACGCGAGGAAGGCCAAGGTGGACAAGTGTGTGTTTGTGAGAGCCGCGCGTGTGTGGGAGCCCGCACATCGCCTCCCTGCCAGCGCCTGCAAACGCGTTTGTTGCTCTCCCCTCGCTCGGTCAGGCCTGATTCCAGTTAAGAGAGTCCTCGTCTTAAAAAAAAAAAAAAAAAAAAAAAAAAAAAAAAACCAAAAAACCCAAACAACAAAAAACAAGAGACAACCCTCTCGAGTGCCGACCACTGCGATGTCCGCTCCCGTACCGGCACCACGCGTGTCCGAGCAGCCCCGCGGGCGCCCCCGCGCTCTCCTCTCCCTCCCGGGGCTGCTCCTTCCCCCGCAGGCCGCTCCCCGTCCCCTCCCGCCCCGCCGGGACCCCCGTGTCACCGCGGGCCCGCTCGAGGCCTGGGCCCCGTCTACCCCCGCACCCCCACCGCTGCCCGGAACCCGACCGGCAGCGCCGCGACCCCGCGGCCCGCAACCCTCCCCCAACCATTCCGCCGCCCCGACCCACCCGGCGCGGAGCAGGCGGCCTCCCCGGTGCGAGTGTCCGTGAGGCGCCGGCTGGGCCGCGGCCGCCGCTGCTGCTGCTGCAGCGAAACTTTGCCGGGGGAGGCGGCGGGACGGGAGCGGCGGCGGCGGGGCCGGCGGGGCCAGCGCCGGGACCCGGATGTGCGCGAGGGGCGGGGCCGCGCGCGCGCCACGGCGGCGGCGGGAGGAAGCGGGAAAAGGGCCGGGCCCGGGTGCTGTGTGGGAAGGGGCTCTGTGGGGAATTGACCCCACTCTGTGAAATAAATGCAAATAATGAATTAGTAAATAAGTGTGTGGGGTTCGGTGTCCAGAAAGTAACGTACCACGTAACGGAAGAATACAAAAGGCCCCGAAGGTCCCGCTGCGATGGCGGGCGCTGCTGGGGCCGAGGGTCGGCACTCTCCCGCCGTACCGTGCCCCAGCCGTACCGTGCCTCAGCGGTACCGTGCCGCAGCCGTACCGTGCCTCAGCGGTACCGTGCCGCAGCCGTACCGTGCCTCAGCGGTACCGTGCCGCAGCCGTACCGTGCCTCAGCGGTACCGTGCCGCAGCCGTACCGTGCCTCAGCGGTACCGTGCCTCGGCGGTATCGTGCCCCAGCCGTACCGTGCCCCGGCGGTACCGTGCCCCGGCGGTACCGTGCCCCAGCGGTACCGTGCCTCAGCGGTACCGTGCCCCAGCGGTACCGTGCCCCAGCCGTACCGTGCCCCGGCGGCACCGTGCCCCAGCGGTACCGTGCCTCAGCGGTACCGTGCCCCAGCCGTACCGTGCCCCAGCTGTACCGTGCCCCAGCGGTACCGTGCCTCAGCCGTACCGTGCACTGCTGCCCGGCAGCGGCTGACACCGGCCTGGGCACGGGGGCTGTTCTCACAGAGCCACAGACTCACTTGGGCTCGAAAAGAACTGGAGATCACTGAGCCCAACCGCTGACCAACACCACGGTGTCAACCAGACCATGGCACTGAGGGACACACTCAGTCTTTCCTGAAACACTTCCAGGAACAGTGACCGCCACCTCCCTGGGCAGCCCCTTGCAATGTCTGAGCATAGTTTCTGCGAAGAAATTCCTCCTGATGCCCAACCTGGTGCAGCTAAAGACTGTGTCCTCTTGTCTTGTCACTGCCCAGGAGCAGAGCCCGACTCCTACCTGGCTGCAACCTCCCTCCAAGGAGTTGTAGAGAGAGGGATGGTCCCCCCGAGCCTCCTCTCTGGTGGGACTGGGTGTTATCCACAATGTCTTGGGGCAGTCGAGGTCCTCCAGGGGGCTGTGTCTCGGAGTAAATTACTAAAACACTCAGTAAAGCTTCAAGAAAATGTGTCAGTAGTGTTAAGGATGGCTCTATAAAGAATTGCACGGATGAAGATTTTCCTGCTGTGTATAATGCCACTATGGAACAGACTTTACTGTCCTCGTTGTGTGACATGGAAGTGAGCACTGTTGCCTCAAAGCTGCTTTTGGACTGCACAGAAGAAAATTTCAAAGACGCACTGGGCCAAAAACATGTCTAGTGTGCCACAGCAGGGTCTGACCTTGGTTAAGCATACTGCAGGCACAAGTGTTTCTTGTCATTTTTAACTGAATAAATTATTAGAGATGAGGGTATATTAAAGAATTGGATTCCATGCCATGACTTGATGTCAGAAGGTTTTAATTTTTTAAATTGCTCTCAATACACTAATGACTTTTGGAACTCCAAACACCTCAATTTCCACTAAAGCTAAAGAATTGTGCTTTCTTTCACTGAAATCAGTTATAAAAATCAGTTGTCCATGCAGAAGCCTCTCATGGCATGGAAGGACTGCAGGTCTTGTTTGCCTTACAAGAGATGAGGTGCTGCAGAGCAATGTGTGCAAGGCTGACCCACACTCAACTCTGCTCCTCAGGACCAGGTGGAACCAGTCACCACAAACTATTGTTGAGGTCTGAACTCCAATGGCTTTGAAAAATTCAACTTTATATGGGCAACAGGAATGTCCACATAGAGGAAAGTATTTTACACTTCAGCTGACCAAGTGATTTTAAGAGGAAACTTTTTCTACAGGATAATTACTTCATAACCCAAAGGCTGCTTTCCTCAGAGGAGTCTGATCATGGCCACCTTCAGACATATTACTGAACTAAGCTAAATCCTAGTCTGATAACTACAGAAATTCTTACAGAAGAGTTTTTTCCTCTGGTCAAAAAACATTGTGTAGGAACAGATGTATGTGGCAAACCCATCATCTGTACATAAATTTGTGTCTCCGTTGTAGAACGTGTAACTACAGTTAGAAATCTGGCATGCCAATTGTATCTGGCATGCCAAGTGTATCTTGCTATCAGATTCCTTTTGGAAAAAAATTAGAAGCACGCAAATGTAATTGAAAGTGTTTCTATATACATATAAAAATACATACATAAGTTACAAAGAAGCGACATGAAACCCTATGTTTTATTTGTGTAACTTAAAGGTAAAACATCTACCAAAAAGAAAAAAAGAAATCAAAAAAAAGCAATGTAAAAGCTCATAGAAATAGGAAAAATATCAAATCAGCCATTGTAATTTCGATTTCAAGTATATTTGAGCTTTAAAGAAATTTTCTTTTGGTTCAAAACTATATGGCTCTTGGATGTAAACAGAAGTTCTTAAGAAGTCAATTAATAGCCCAACAGGATATCTCTACTAAAGTTCATGGCAGCAGTGAAGGAGCAAGGCTTTGGTGTAATTTAGTCTCAGAACAGAGCTAATCTTTGGGGACTCCTCTGTATCTCTGCACCAGCAATTGTTCTGCTTTGGCCAGGCAGTCCAAAATATGGGACAAAAAATAAAACAATAACTGTTGGCCTTTTTCCAAATCTTTTGTGTTACTTAATTAATAAACCAAGTAACAAACAACAAATTGGCAGCAGGCATTTTAGGTGTTGTTCATGTGCCAACCATCATGTCTCTAGAAAACAATATGTTCTCCTCTGCTGAGGAGTTACAAAACACTTGTATGCTGCTGGGTGAATCTACATCACAGAGCTCCGATGCGCTTCCTGCTGTGGAGGTTTCGGGGTTCCAGTGATGAGGGAAGCTGAAGGTGTGCATGCAAGAGTATGGGAAGACAAAGAAAATGCTAAGATTTCCAAAATTAAGTATTCTAAAAAATTCTTGATTTACAGGCAATGGAGACATGTCTGCTTGTGGCACACCCTCCTCAGAAAACAGTGATTTTTAAGCACAATGCAGAGGCTGTTTTGGAGTGTGGTAGCAAGGAATATGATAATTGATAATTGGTCTGAAAAGTAGGTTTCCTTTTTTTTTTTTCCATGCCATTTTGTCATAGACTAATATTGTATGGGCAAAACTCAAATGTCTGAAGTCAAATTATCTCTTTGTAGTCAATGAGACTGATAAAATACAAAATAAGTGACATTGGCTATCTGATGATTCAGGTCTGTGTGCCCTTAAGGCCACAGGATATTTAACATCACTTTCACCACTGCCTATTCATACTTGGTCTCCATCATTTGGATCTCTAGTGCCACATTCCAATAGGTCCACTCTAATAACATACCAAGTTCAATAAAAGGACAACAAGGAGACTCAAAGCACCCTAAACACATTTTCCAGAAATCATGTGATTTCACAAATTCCTGAATTTCACAACTCATGGAGCCATCGATCCTATTTTATCACTGTCAAATGCAAATTTTCCAGCACACAGACATGCAGCTCTGTTAATCCAAGGAAAAATGACTACCCAAACTCTCCCATACCTGAATGTTTTAATAATTAAATTATGTTAGATTCTGCAGAAACAACTGCACATGTTTATACTTTTGGGGCCTGCCTTGTAAAGCCAGCTGAAGTACAAGTACCTGTCTGATTCCTTTGTGCACAGGCTAATGGCAATGAGGGCAGAAAAACACCTCCCCATAAAGCTGAGTTACGGTAGGTGTTTATGTCAGAGTGAGAGATAACCTCAAAGTCTGATCAAAGTACAAAACAACCAACAGAAGAAGTATCTATCAGGCTATCAGGCTTTCTGTGGTTGAGAAGTGTGAAGTTCAAGAACTATCTTAAATTCCATTATTTTCATTTTACTCTCCAGATTTTGAATACTATTCCTATATTTCTTAATGAAATTTTTATATGGTTAGAAGTGAATTAGCATGAAAATCAAATAGATTGTTTGAATTATAAGGAAATAGCCTTGAAAAAAAGTTGCTTTATTACAAAACTTTGGCCTTCCTGTAATTTCTTAAATGGCTGTATTGTTCAATTTCATTCTCTATCAACTTTCTAAATTGCTGGGGGAAGAAGGTGGACTGTTGTTTAGAAAAGAAAAATAAATATATGTAAACTGTTGCCATGTCTCTACCCACATTAAGCATTTGCAAAGCTACTTTATGTTAAAAAAATCCTGTAGTGTGAAAGACGGCTTAGATATTTAAACCAAATCTAGCTTAAAAACAGAATTGGGGGAAGTGAATAGGATAGCTCAAGAAAGTTCCACTCTCACAGCTGTCAGCAGAGAAGAAATGGGGGAAGGGGGAAATGCTGAGAAAGGAATTTATTTTTTTTTGGCAGTGAAGAGAGGAACATGCCATCCCTGTTTGAAAAGTTTCAGGGTGGGAAAGGCTAAGGAGGGGCTAACATACTATACATACCTTTATGTATATTTTTGAGGCAGAAAAACAGTGTTGTGTTTAAGCAGAGTTCAGCAAGGGGAGAGGGAGGTGACATTCGCTCTGGCCATTTGGTTCTCTTAAATAAGCCCACAATTGACAGCAGGCTGAGAACAGGCACAGGAGGTGCTAAGAGGCTGCCTCCCAAGAAGACAACACAAATACTGTGTACCTTGCATCACATATGTAAGAAAATGGAAATAACCTTTAGTGTCTGGAGGAAAGATATTAAAGTGTTTATCTACAAGGTCCTCAGAGGTGTAGGCTCCTGTAGAGTTACACTCACTGGCTCACAGCCTTTGAATCCCCAGAGCCAGTTCTCAAATTAAGAACCCTGTTATTGTTACAGCCACACTTCTGGGTACCTTGCATGACAGCTCACAGAGAGAAAGGGAGAGAAGAATTAGTCTTGTTTTCTGAAGCTACAGATAGAAGACATTAACATGAAATTGTAGACCAGGGGAGAGAGGGAAGGCAAGCCAAAAGTATTCTTCCAAGCAAGTTTAAAGCTGCAAGTTTTTCTTCCTAGACTGGAAGAAGAAATGGGGTGAGACATGTAGCTGAATAATGCTATGGGACATCTCTGGAGATGTTAGAAACAAAGACATAATTATGTAAAAGTTTTGTAAGTTCAGCTTAACTGCACAGAATAGAATTGTGAATATACTGGGGATGGTATATCCAGTCCAACAGACCTGAGAGTCACTTAGGATGCAAACCTGAACACATAATTCAAGAAAAAAAAAGTCTGAAAAACATATTAAAAAGGCAACATCCTAAGAAACAAAACAGAACACTGCAGGAAGAGTAAGATGTGTATAAAGGTATGAACAAGAGCATTTGCTTGCGAACTGTCACAAACTCCACATCAGAGTGGGAACCACCCATCCTGGTGGATAGAGTATCCACCTGTGGACAGAGTCTGGTCAGGGCAGAGAACTCATAAATCAGATATTCTTCTTGGAATGGGGTGAATACCTTCCCAGAGAAGTGGAAAAAAAAATGTCCCAGATGATGAACACAAAGTGTTATAGTGCTTTGAGAGAAAATTATAAAGACAATAGTTTTAAACAGCTCGATTCCTTTGAATATTCCTCTGGTGTTATTTTTCTGGACCATCCCCAGCTTGCCCTCACCATCACATCAGCAGTACAGAAACATGCAGTGCTCTCATTCTTCTAAATCAG